TGGGTGGCTGCGAGTCAGCGTCGACCCCATGGCCGTGAATGTGTTTGTTCTGTTTTTATGGAACTTCTGAAAGTCATCGGCCTCTGAAAAGCCCATGGAGACTGTGTGGAGACTGAGAAACTAAACCGAAAACCTTCCCAAAAAACACAATAAAATGTCATTTAGGATACAATTTTTAAAAAAATTAAGCCCTATGGAACACAGCCCTCTTCTGACAGACATTTCCCCCCACAGGAGGCGGGTCGCCTCAAAGGCTGTAGATTGTATGATAGAGAAGACAGGAGAGGCTGCAGACCAGGGAAGAGTGATCCCCAAAGTTTTCCTGTAGAACCTGGTGTCACTGGCTAGACTCAGGCAAGCGGCCTCCCCCTTCTCGGTCTCCTCAGTCGGGGTGGGGGGTGAGGCCAGAGGAAACCTCGACTCCCTTTGGCTTTGGGTCACCCAGAGTAGACAAGAGTCTGGCTGTGGCAAAGCAGGGGTCTCGAATTGGCAGCTTCTGTGTGGCCTCCCCTCTGCAGGGGCTAAGGTTTGCCGCTCTGCCGGGCCTGTCACCTCTATCCCACAGCGTCGAGTTGCCCTTCCCACCTCCAGCACCTGCTGCCCCTAAGCTGTGAAGCAATGGTCTCAGGCAGGGTCATCTCGCCGCCTTCAGTGCTTGTTGCCGCCCCTGGGCTCCCCAGCTGGCTTGTGATTGCCCAGACTTACGGGCCTTCTTTAGCCCCGTCCGCCTGAGCATCCCTCCCCCTCGCTCTTTAAGACACCGTCCAACCTCCTCCAGGAAGTCCTCACACTCCCCAGCTGAGCCCACCCTCATCTTCTGGGCTCCCCCTGCCCCACTCACGAGCCCCCAGAACTAGAGGGCCTGTGTCCAGCTAGGATCCCCACCCTCCAAACCAGCGGTTCTCAACCTGTGGGTCTTGACCCCTTTGGGAGTCGAACGACCCTTTCACAGGGGCCGCCAGATTCATAACAGGAGCAAAATGGCAGTGATGGAGCAGCAAGGAAGATCATGTGATGGTTGGGGGGTCACCACCACATGAGGACCTGCATGACAGGGTCGCGACATTAGGAGGGTTGAGAGCCACTGCCCAGAAGCAAGGCGCCTTTTAGGGGAGGGGCTGGGACTGGGCCCACTAGGCCCCCAGCATCACCCAGCAAAGGCCCAGTGCGTGGGACAGGCTGTAGGCGTTGTGTAAGTTGAATAATTAATCGCCAGGCATTCTCTCCGTTTCTGTTTGCCTCTGTCCCCATTCCTGCCCACTGCTTTCTCTCTCCACCCAAACGAACACCTCCCCATACACCGCAACCCTTCCCCGGCTCCCCACTTCCCTCTTTGCCACTCTCCATCATTTGTTTCTCTGTTCCTCCCGAACTTTCTCTCTCCCCCTCACTCTCTCTGCGCCTCCCCCCACCTGCCACCTCCAGGGGCCCGCATGGCGTCTGGACCATGGAGGAGCGGGGCCTGGCCCCCAAGTTCGACACCACCTTCGAGAGCGCGCGGCCTTCGCGGACCCACATGGCGCTGGTGCAGCTGGAACGCGTGGGCCTGCTCCGCTTCCTGGTCAGCCAGAACGTGGACGGGCTGCATGTGCGCTCTGGCTTCCCCAGGTAGCCCCGCCCCGTCCCCCCTACCTAGGCCCCATCCACGTAGGCCCCGCCCCGTCCCCCCTGCCTGGGTCTGGCTGCCTCTGTACAAAGGTGGTGAGGGAGCCCCTCCTTGCAGGACACCCGGGAGGTGGGGCGGGATGAGATGGGAGAGAGCACTTAGGGCCAGCAGGGACCCCGCCAGACAGAACTGTCACCGTCCTTACTACATGAATGTGACGTGAGCTCTGTGACATTTTTTGGAGTTCTAGGGGGCCGCCAGCCCACCTCCGTTCCCTCCGTGCCCCTGCTGGGTCCCTAATCTGTGAGTGCCCACCCCTGGCCCCAGGCCTGACCTTGGAAAGCAGGTATCCAGGAGGCTCGGTGGACACGGGTCTCGATGGCATCCTGCTCTGGACCTGCAGCCATGACCGGCACCCCGTCCCCTCCCCTCAACCCCTCTTCCCTCTCACCAGGGACAAGCTGGCCGAGCTGCACGGGAACATGTTCATAGAAGAATGTGTCAAGTGTAAGACGTGAGTGGCCCTGGGCTTTGGGGTGGTGGGTGCCGCCAGGCTGCCCCCAGGCTGGCAGGGTGCTGGCAGCCCTGTCCCACGCTGTGCCCGCTGTCACCCCACCCCACCCTTGGAGCTGAGGTCTCCAAAGTCCCAGAGGCTGTTGCTGTCTGGCGTGACCCTCCTAGGGGAGGAGGACGGGGTGTGACTCTCCTGCACGGGGAACAGGCCTCTTGAGGGCAGAATGGAGTGACGTTCCGAGGCTGTAGCTGGAGGATGCTGGGGCGTGGCCCTCGTCCTCTGAGACGCTGAATCAGTGCCCCTTCGTGGAGCAGGTGGGAGCCAGCTCCGCCCTCTCCTCCCTCACAGGTGTGAATATCTCGGGGTGCACATGCTCCCCACTGCCTGCGGGCCTGACCCCAGAGAGGATCTCCACTACTTTAGTTTCTTTGGGAAAATTTCAACATTCTATTAAAAAAAAAAAAAAGTCACAAAACTTCATGATGGATGACTAGGCAGGGGTCACCCATTTTTCCTGTAATGGGCCAGGGAGCCACTGCCTGCAACCCTGTCGGCCCAGCTCCAGCAGCTCTGCCCTTAGAGAGCAGAGAGCTCATTCAGGCAACATGTAAGTGAATGTGCACCAATAAAACTTTATCGACAAAACCAAGCAGGGGGCCGTGTGGCCGAGGACCACCATTGGCCAGCCCCTGACCTGGACGCTTTGCCAGTCTCCCGGTGTACAGCACAGAAGGGAACGCCGCCCTCTCCCTGGCCCTCAGCCTTCCAGACAATCTCTCTTGGCAGCGAAGACATTCTGTCTCAGCACCCCGTCATGTGCATTGGGTGCCCGACTCCCAGGGACCCCACGTGACAGAGGAGAATCACCCAGCCCGTCCCGTCGTCTTGACTGGCATCTTGGTGGGAGCAGACCGCCAAGGCTGTCTTCCTCGGAGCCGCTGGGTTGGTTGAGCACTTAGCCCACCACCAGGGCTCGTTGCACACTAAGAAACACACACGTCAGCCATCGAGTAGACGCCAACCCATAGCGGCCCTGTAGGACCGGGTAGAACTGGCCCCGCGGGTTTCCGAGACTACAGCTCTTCCCAGGAGTAGGAGCTCTTGTTTTTCTCCCGGAGAACGGCAGGTGGTTTCAAACTGCTCACCTTGCAGTCAGCAGTCCAGCGGAGTAGCCGCTGCCCCAGCAGGGATCCTTGGCGCAACTCTGTTGGCTGGAAACCTCTTTGGTTTCCAAGACGGGACATCTTTCTATGTATTTGTGTATTGGAGACTTTAACTCTTTACAGGGGCAGACAGCCTCGTCTTATCTTCCCGTGGAGCATATGGGAGATTCGAACTGTTGACCTTGTGTGGTTCGCAGCTCAGTTTTACTGCCATCAAGTTGAATCCGACTCGTGGCGATCCTATAGCACTCCTAGCGAACCAGGGGCCCCCTGTGGGTTTCCAAGATGGTCAGTCTTTCCAGGAGCAGAAAAGTCTCATCTTTCTCCCAAGGATAGCCTGGTGGGTTCGAGCTGCTGACCTGGTGGTTTGTGGCTCAATGTATGACCCATTCCTCCATCTGAAAATCAGGGAGCACCAGGGGTGGATACGGCTATGTGTCCAGCGCCTGCTGCCATAACCTCGCCTGCAGCTGCTCGGAGCCCAGGCCCTTTTCCTAGGCCAGTCAGGCTCGGCGATGCCGTCCGAGCTCCTGTGCGTTGACTCTCTCTGGGACGTTTTCCCACCTGGCTTGCTTCCCATGACAGAGACAGCTTGTCCGTGGAAGGCAGAAGGCCCTGCACTCTGGGATTGCCGGAAGCTTCCTGTAGCCAAGGCCCCAGCTCTCCTGGGCAAGGCCTTTGGGTGGGTTTGCTGTGGCACAGAGCAGGCCACTTGGGAGCCGGTGGGTGGCCGCAGTGACTCCCTACGTCCTCCCCTCCCCTACACAGGCAATACGTCCGGGACACAGTTGTAGGCAGCATGGGCCTAAAGACCACGGGCCGGCTCTGCACAGTGGCCAAGGCCAGAGGGCTACGGGCCTGCAGGTGAGCGATGCCCCTTCCCCCCACTTGCATTGCAGGGAGTCCCCATCCCCACACCGGCAGCCGGAGCCCTACTGATTCCTCTCCTCACTGCCACAGGGGGGCGCTAAGAGACACCATCCTGGACTGGGAGGATGCCCTGCCTGACCGAGACCTCACCCTCGCGGACGAGGCCAGCAGGTCTGACCCATGAGCCCCACCCCGATGGGCCCGAGGGCGGGAAGACAGGCCGAAGCAGCTAACTCCAGCACAGGGTGGAAGACAGACCGCTCAGAGCCTAAGGCAGACACCAGAGAGGGCATCCTGGGGGAGGTGGCCCTCACTGGGCCTCAGTTTCGCTATAGTCACAGCTAAGGTTGTTGTCTGCTGGCCCCTCGGTGGGCCGTGATCTGCAGGGTTCTTCTGGGCTGATTGTTTGAAGGCTGAGGCCTGGCAGCTCTGCTAAAACCCGTTCAGCATCCTGGCAACATGCCGGCCTCCATGGTCAGACAGCAGGTGGCCCAGCCTATAATGTGCCGGCCAGGATTCGAACCCTGCTCTCCGGCATGGAGGGCAACACAGGCTCCAGGCCTGCGCTATCAATGGATCCCCGTACGCTGGGGGCCCACACTCACGGCCCTCCCCACAGCCCTCGGTCGGTGCCCCGCTAGGCCCATTCTGCAGTTGGGGAAACTGAGGCTTAGTAAGGCGACCGCTCTGACCAGTGCAACCTGGGCAGGAAGTGAGGAGGCAGGATTGGGATCCGGGTCCCAGCACTTTCCCAGGATGCTCTGTGAATCCCGAAGTACCTGACGGGACTCCCACAACAGGGGCTCCGAGGGAGCCGGGAGGCTGACCTGCTAGAGGGCTAGGGGTATGATCGCTGCCCGAGGCAGCCCGCAAGCCGGGCTTTGAAGTGGGTCGCCTGGAAAGCCCAGGTGAGCAGGGAGGTAGAGTGTGGTGGAGGGTGGGGGGCTCCGGGGGGTGGGGGTGGGGTTGTCAGAGAGGAGTGGGAAGGCCTGGTGCCTGAGAGGGGTGTCCTAGGGCCACCTGTTCAGACTAACACTCTTGCTCCCGCCCTAGGAACGCTGACCTGTCCATCACCCTGGGCACCTCGCTGCAAATCCGGCCCAGCGGGAACCTGCCGCTGGCCACCAAACGCCGGGGCGGCCGACTGGTCATAGTCAACCTGCAGCCCACCAAACATGTAGGTGCCCGAGGTCACCACAGTGTCGTGTTTCCCAGTCACCGCCCTGAATGCCTGCCCCAGGCCCAGCACACTCTGATCTCCGCTCTGGCCCGCCCCGCCCCCCGCAGGACCGCCACGCAGACCTGCGCATCCATGGCTATGTCGATGACGTCATGGCGCAGCTGATGAAACACCTGGGGCTGGAGATCCCCGCCTGGAATGGACCCTGTGTGCTGGAGAGGGCACTGCCATCGCTGCCCCGCCCGCTCGCCCCTAAGTTCGAACCCAAGCAGGAGCCCCCTGCCCCGCTCCACAGCTCAGCGCCCGTCAGCCCCAAGCAGGAGCCCCCCACCGCCCAGCACAATGGCTCTGGACCTGCCAGCCCAAAGCGGGAGCGGCCGGACACACCCACCCCCCACAGGCCTCCCAAAAAGGTGAAGGCCGACGGGCTCCCTAGCTGACGAGTGTGCTCGGGGAGGGGGGTTTGTAAGAAATTGTGGGTTCTCTTCTTCCGAGCCGGGTTCACTTTTGTTATTCGCTCCTGGTCTCTGGGCTGCAGGGCACAGGGACCCGGGCAAGAGGCCGAGCTTGCTTATTCTTGTTACCTGGAGGGGCCAGGGGCCTGAGAAGGAACACCTCCCCAACCTTAGCCCTGGCGCTGGCTGCCCAGGCTCCTGTTACACCCTCCTAGCCTGAGAACATTTGAGGGAGACAGTGGCCAGGACCTGCCTGGTTGGCACACTAAGCAGGGGTGCACACCCTCTGCCCATTGGGCCCGCTTCCTGTAGGTGGCCCGCTCCCTGTCGGTAGCCCTTACCACAGCCAGATGATCATCTCCCCAAGGCCTCATTCTTGGACCCTGAGGAGGCTTGGGCAGTCAGGTCGAGGCACCAGTTGGGGGCCAGGCTTGGGGCGGGTGACTCTAAGGGGCTGCTCTGCCTTGGGGTTGGAGCAAGACCCCTGGGTCCACCTGGAATCCTCCAGACCCCCAGGAAAGTTGTCAACACAATAAAAGCAGTCCTAACTTCTTCTACCAGGATCTCTCTAACACCCGGGAACTGCGGGAGGAACCCTGGTGGCTAGGGGCTTCTTTTGGGTTGTTAACGGCAAGGTCAGAAGGTTTAAACCACCGGCTGCACCTATGGGCAAAGAGGCTTTCTACTCCTGTAACGATTTAAGCCCAAACCAAGCACTGACCTCAAATCAAGTCAACGCATAGTTGACCCAGTGTTACAGAGAAAACTACCCCTGTGGCTTTCCAACTTTCGCGGGAGTGAGAAGCCTCTTCTTGCTCCTGTGCAGTGGCTGGTGGTTTTGAACTACTGTTCTTGCGATGAACAGCCCAACTTGTAACCAGTAGATGACCAGGACTCCTGCTGTAAAGAGTTACAGCCTTGGAAATCCTCAGGAGCAGTTCTGCTCTGTCCTGTAGGGTGGTATGTACCAGGATTGACTCGATGGCAGTGAGTTTGGCTCGGTTTGGAAGGAGGCAAGGACAGGTGCCCTGCTCAGAGGCCTTGCCTGCAGCCCCTCATGCTCGCAAACGCCAGATCCCTGCCATCCAGTCGATTCCGACTCGGAGCCACCCTCTCAGGCAGGGCAGAGCTGCCCCGTGGGTTTCTGAGGCGGGAACTCCTGGTGGCTTTCAGTATCTGGAACTGCTTCCAAGCTGTGCAAAAGGTTTTCGGCGGCTTCTTCCTCCAAAGTGAGGAGCTGAGACCTCCTTCCCTGTCTTGTGCTTGGTCTGGAAGCTGCGTTGACACCTGGTCACTTTGGGTGACATTTGAAATACCGGTGACAGCTTCCTGCCTCACAGCAACACACAAGCCGCCACAGTCTGACAGTGACGGGTCAAAAGGCGTGTTTGCATCAGTAAATCTGCACGAGACGTCTTTAGGGTACTGAAGAGCAAGGATGCCACTGAGGTCAGAGCAAGGTGCGCCTGGCCCAAGCCGTGGCATTCTCCAGGGCTTCACATGCGTGTGCAAGAGGGGCATTGAATAAGGAAGAATCGATGCCTTTGAATTGCGCTGGAGAATATCTCAAGTACCACGGACTGAGAAAAGGACAAACGTCTAGATGGGAAGAAGTAAAGCCAGGGTGTATCTTAGAGGCAAGGATGGCAAGACTTCGTCTCACAGGCTTTGGACATATTGTCCGGAGAGACCCGTCCCTGAGAAAGGACAGCACGCTTGGTAAAGTGGAGGGGTGGCAAAGACGAGGACGGCCTTCGATGAGACGGACTGACCTCATGGCTGCACCCCTGGTCTCAGGTAGAGAAACAACAGTGAGGATGGGACGGTGCTTCATTCTGCTGAAGATGGCAAGACTTTGGGCATGTCAGGAGTGGCCTGTCCCTGGAGAAGGACATCATGCTTGGTCAAGTCGGGGGAGGGAGCGGTGAGGAAGAGGCAGGCCCTGGAGGAGATGGGTGGACACTGTGGCTGCATCCGTGTGCTCAGGCACAGAAACTATTGTGAGGACGGCGCAGGGCCAGGCAGTGTTTCGTTCAGTTGTGCGTAAGGTCGCCGTGAGCCGGAGCCAACTGGATCACACCTGACAGCAACAGCAGCAGTTTACGGGAGTAGAAAGCCTCCTTTCTCCTAAGGTGTGCTGGTGGTTTTGAACAGCTGACCTTTGTGATGAGCAGCCCAGCACCCAAGCACACCACCACCAGGGCTCCTCCTCACAGAGACATGCGTAAGCATATCCTGTGCATGCATGAACGGGAACCCCTGAAACAATACTTTTGACTTACCCTCACATTTCCATGCCTCCTGTTTGAGACGTGACTCCTGTTACTAGACTGTGAGCCCCTTGGGAAAGGCAGTATCTGTTGAGGACACACCTGTATGTATCGGGCAGGTGAGCGGCACATTCAGAGCCCAGTGCAGCCACTAACAGCTATATTTTTTTGCCACAAGACAGAACATTCTGATCAAGGATTCTGTAGATGAATACTCATCAAAGGGGAACGGGAGGCTGAACAGAATTGTTGGTTTCCATGGGATTCAGATTTTCTGGAACCTGGGAGGCTGAGTGAACCCCCAACTCCAAGCAACTGCCCTGACATCATCTTTTAAGTCTCTTCCCCTAAAATCCCCCTGAAGCCTTCTTTCAACCAAACGAGTTTAGCTTAACCAGTAAGGAATGACTGTTGAGCACTGTGCTCTTTCAAAGAACTATCCACACTGGATGGGATCACATTGGCAGCCCCATTCCAAACTCAGTCACGGAGTCAAAACTGACTCGTAGCACCCCACTAGGAGAGAGCAGAACTGACCCCATGGGTTTCCCAGACTGCAAATCAAATCTTTGCTGGAACCGAAAGCCCCCATTTCTCCTGTGGAGCAGCTCCTGGTTTGGAACCGCTAACCTGCACTGGACCAAACCAAAATACCGGAACTCGCTGCCATCGAGTCCATGCCGGCCCACAGCCACCCTGTAGGGCAGGGCAGAACTGCCCCTGTGGGTTTCCAAGACGGTAACTCTTCACAGGAGTAGACAGCCTCCTTTCTCTTGCCAGGGCTCCTACATTGACAACAGCACCTTGGCATTCAGGTAGGAACCTACAGGGCAGCGGGTATGTTCCTGGGAAGGAATGGCTCGGAAAAGAAGGCGCAGATGGTTTCATGAGTCGGAAAAAGCTACCTGTGCACACGGAGGGACGGTTGAACAGGTATATGTTCTACTGGGTGTAAATCTCAAAGAGACCCAAAGGGCCGTGGAGTCGATGCTGACTCGTAGTGACCCTAGAAGGCCAGGTAGAACTGCCCCTGTGGGTTTACAAGACAGTAACTCTTTCATGCAGAGCGGCTGGTCTCAAACTGCCCTCCTGGCCCAAGGCTTTTCACAGCAGACAAAACCTAGCTCTATCCCTTCCATGTCTCTCGGTGGAGGACTTAACGTCAAACACACAAGGTGGGCGACCCTCCCCCACTCCCCAGAAAAGCAACTGCATTCACTCCGCAGTAGCCAGCCCTCAATTTGAGGGCCCCCTGTAAACACCCCTCTGCAGTTGCTGCACCTTGCGCCCCGCGGCTGCTCTCCGTGGTGCTGAACGCGCACCTGCCGCCTTGCCGGCGCAACCTAGACTGGGGACTGGCTCCAGCCCTCCGCGCCAGCCACGTCCGGTACAAATCCTTTATTAGAGGTCGCAGCAGCCTTACAACAGGGGTGGGTGCGGATCGAGCACCTCGTAGTCTTAAACTCATACCTTCTCTGGGGCCAGCGTCCCCGTGTGCGCGGCAGACCGCACTGGGGGTGGGGTTCACTGAGGCTACATGCACACATACATGTATGTGTGTACTATACATAGATACGTGTGTAGGTGTGCGTGCATGCATCGTACACATGCATGTATGGCGTCTGTGTGCGTCTGTGTATCAGTGTGTGTGTATATCAGTATAATTGAGTGTATGGCGCTGCCAGTGTGAAGGCTGCGGTGTATGTAACTGCTCATATCTGGGGCTGTGTGTGTGACTGAGTGTGCGTGGCTGTGGCTGTGTGTGTCTGAGTGTGTCCGCAGGCTCTGTGGCTCAGTCTGCCTGTCGCCCCGTCTCCCTCTCCTCAGTCCCAACATCCTTTTCCAGAGTCCTGGCAGTTCCCTCCATCTTTAGGGAGGCTGCGTACGTCGCTGGGCCCAGGGTGGGCTGGGCTGTAGCCGTGGGTGGGTCAACCAAGCTGGCTGTTTCTGCCGCAGTCTGCCCCACCTCCAGCCCAATATTCTTTGCTGTCCACTGCAAGTCCCTGGGCAGAGGGGCACGGGACACCAGCCTTGGGGGTATCACAGCTCCTCTCCGGCTGCCTCCAGTCCCACGCGCCCAGGACTGGGGCCTGTCTCAGGTGTGACCCAGCCCAGCAGGGCAGCCAGGCCCAGCAGATCCTTGAAGGTGTCCATCGTCAGAGTAGAGAAGGCCAGCGCTGCTGTCCAGTTGTCCAGCGCCTCACTTGAGGTGTCGAGCGCCAAGCTGCCCAGCGTCGAGTTGCCCAGTGCCAACGTCGAGCTGCCCAGGGTCGAGTTGTCCAGTGTCACTGATGAGTTGTCCAGCGCCAGCGTCGAGTTGTCCAGTGTCACTGATGAGTTGTCCAGCGCCGCCGTCAAGTTGCCCGGCACTGGCATGTCCCCGGAGCCCCGCTCGGCCCCAGAGGTGTCTGGAGCCCCTTTTGGGTGTGAACCTGCCCCGGGCTGGGGTCCCCGGGGCTCGGAACCTGGCGCGGCGTCGGGGGCCACGCGGGAGGTGGCGTCGGTGTGCAGTGTCCTGGAGAAGACTGGGCGAGGGTGGAGGGGACCCTTAAGGGGGGGTAAAGGGTCTGCCCCGCCTCTCCCCCCACCCTCCATCCACGCGGAACCGTGGGCGGGGGTCTCCTCCCGCTCCCCAGGTTTTCCAGGGCGGAGCGGGCCCGCCAGGCCCACGTACCTCGCACGGGCGTGAAGTCCCCGGGGCGCTGGCCGCTGTCGGAGGCGAAAGGGCTGATGGAGGGGAGGACGATGAGGGCAAAGGAGAGCAGCAGGACCTGGCGGAGACGTGGGCGGGGTCACCCGATCCCGCCCCCTCCCCTGCGAGCATGCGCATCTCCTGAGGGCGGGAACTGATGCTGTGGGCGTGCCCCTACTGCTTCGGGCCGGCGCCCCTCCCCAAGCCCGGACCCCCAAGGTCCCGAATGCGTGTGTGCGTGCGTGCGTGGAACTCCCGGCCTGGACTCACCGCTATGCAGGTGCCCGTCTGGGCCGACTTGCTGGTGGACTGGACCACGAGGGTTTGGAGTTTCTTCAGTTGCTGCAAAAGGGACCTTTGGGGGGACAGGCAGGCCTTGGTCCAGGGCCCTGCTGCTTCCGGCCCGACTGCCACCCCCTTCCGCAGACGGCTGGATGTCTGAATTTCACTTACCTCCCACCCCACAGCTCGTCACTGGGCAGCTCGCCCCTCTTTTCTCCCACTACAGCTTCCCAAATCCCGGCCCCCTGGATGCCCCTACCCCACCCCCAGGCTGCTTCTGCTCCAGGCAGCAGTCAAGGGGTGCTTTCCAAATGAGAACGGAGCTCCTGCCCCCAGCGCCCTGTCCTCTTCCGGCACTCCTACTTCACTCCTGATAAAAGCCATCACCCTGCAGCCACAAGACACCCTGCACCCACCCAGCTGAACCTGTCCCTGGGCCTCCCTGCCCTGCCCTTCCTCCACTCCTCGGTTCCAGCCCTCACTGTTTCTCAGCATGGAGCTGACTCTTTCTCACCCACCAGGTGTCCCCTCCTCCAAGACACCTTCTCAGGCCTCCCTGTTGAAAATAGCACCCCCACCCCTTTCTCCAGCCCGGTGCCCTCCCCTCAGTCCTCCGACTTTGTTATATTTCTGTCCAGAGTCCATTTTATACTGGGTCATGGGTTCTTTCATTCAGAGAGGCTGGGCCTATTTTGCTCACTGCAGTGAGTGCTCTGTTCACTGTCCTGGGGGAGGTGAAGGGTTGGTGCTAGACGACGACGAGCCACAAGGTCGGTGGTTCGAATCCGTGCCGAGGCACCACGAAAAAAAGACCTGCCAATCTGCATCCGGGATGCTACAACCTTAAACTCCCCTTTGGAGCACTTCCACGCTGCCCAGACGGTGTCTCCATGCACCGTGGTTGACCAGACAGCAACTCCAGAAGCACAGACTCACTGCGACCGCGTGGAAGCTGATACCTAGCCACCCTATAGGGTCTGTGAGCTTCCCAGACTAACTCTTCACAGGAGGAGACAGCCGCGGCTTTCTGACACAGAGCAGCCGGTGGCTTCTAACTGCTGACCTTGCGTTTAGTAACCACTACGCCAAGAATTAACAATGCCCAGAACCATTTCTGGGGTCCAGTAGATGCTCTGGAAATAGGAGCTAAAAAAACAAACAAACCCTGACATAGAATCCCATGCACTTCTCCCCCAAGTCCTCAGAGCCTTCCCACGTGCCATTTCCTCCATCAGGAGTCCCCCCTAATGAACTCCTACACACCCTTCAGTGCCCTCTGTCCACATGCCCTCCTCTAGGCAGTTTCTATTTCCCCAATCTTGTAAGCTGTTACTCCCAGCTCCGTCGTGCCACACAAGGCTCTCCCTACATTATCTCCCTCCCCGCCCCCCCAGGGGCTTGGGGGCTGACCCTCCCTACCCTCTGCTGGGGGGTGGGGGGAGGGGACCCAACTCACAAGTTCTGTTTCTCAAGATGTAAGACCTTCCTCTGTAGCTCCTGGTTCTGGGCGGTGCAGGCAGACATCCTGCAGGGACAGTGTCACCGTGAGAGTCAGAAGGTGCCTGTCATCTGCTGACCCAGCTGGCAGCCCCCCTGGGAGGGAACCTGAATGGAATCATCTAAGTTCTCCTGAAAAGATGCTGGCCGGGGCTGGGATTTGAACTCAGGTCTTCCTGACTCCTGGGTCCCATTTCTGTATTGAGGTGGAAGTTCCACTGAAGTCTGAGGCTTAGGGTTTGGAAGGGAATGCTAAATGCAGGAAATGATGGTCCCAGAAAAGGAAACAGGGTGACTGGGCATCCCAAGGAGACCCGGGGGACCATCTTAACCTGCCTCATGACCTTGAGTCACTCAATTTCTCTGCTCTCATTGCGCTTGTCTGTGAAATGGAGAGGCAGTTGCCGAGCTCACAAAGTGGTTGGGGAATGACATGAGATGACAGCCCGTGAGGAGTTTAGCAGATTGCACTTAAGAACAGCATAACGAGAATCCCTCTGCCCACGGTCCTGAGGTCCAGACTGAGGACCCCACTTTCCCTCCTGCATCTGCCTTCAATGGGGTCTGTACTCAACCTCCTCAAAGGTGGGCCAGAAAAGCTCACACCAGGAAATAGGGATCTGCATTGGGCCCAGGCTCTCCCCTCAAGATAGAGGGTGCAGAATATGGGAGACAGGTGTGAAGTCGTAGGTTTTCACGGTGTCACCTAGGAGACACTTGGATAAACCCCATCCTAAGGCTTAAGACTCTTGAGTCTACCATGCTTTCCTTTTTCTCGTGGGATCATGTGTTCTATTCCCCCAAAAGGTCAAAAGGCTCAGGTGTCACTTTCCAGAAAGTCGACCAAACAGAGCACACCTGAGTGGGGGAAACACATTCCCCCACTGAATGACCCTCTTCCCGAAGAACTCTGGGACAAAGAGGACTTCACAATAAAAATTATGGAAAAACCAATGTCCACGTTAGAATGACAATCAGGCAAATAAAAAATGTGCAGAATGCAGCTAAAGTGGCACTGAGAGGAAAAGGCATAGCCTTAATTCAGCTTAGTGAGTTGAGGACACACATTTGAAAATTAGCAAAAGAACAAAAGAATCAATACCCCACCTCCAAAGAAAACACACACAAACGAAGGATATGATGATAAAGATAAAATGACAAATAACCTAGGAAACAATATTATACTTGGAGAACCAGAAATACTTCCTTTGAAAAGAAGGTTTCAAATAGCAAACCTCTGGAGATTAAGAAATCAGACACACAAAGAGAAAAACCATGGTGCAGCCTGAGGAATTAAAAAGAGGGCAAACAAGTGGGGCGAGGGGTGGGGGAGAGCCAACAAGCCCAGGGACAAGGGGACAACAAGAGATCTAAAATCGATGGCCAGGAAGGCACAGAATGCCTGGTGGGGTTCAATCGAGTGCAATGTAGCCCAGAGGAAGTACAGAGAGGCGAATGAAGGTCAAGCATGATCGAGGGACAGGAGCAAAGGAAAAGGAAGTAGAGGAAAGAACTAGGAGGCAAAAGACATTTATAGAGCTATAAACATAGGCATGTATCTATATAAATATATGAATATATAACAATAGGGATATAGGTCTGTATACATATATTTATAGGTTAAGTATTAAGGTAGCAGATGGACATTGGTCCTCTACTCAAGTCTTCCCTCAATTGAAGAACACTTTGTTCTAATAACCTGGCATCCTGTGCTGCTCACCTTTCCAACACAATCACTGAAGACAAAATGGGAGCATAAGCTAATGTGGTGAAGAAAGCTGATGGTGCCTGACTATTATAAGATATATTGTCTGGGGTGTTAAAGGCTTGAACAAGCGGCCATCCAGCAGGGCAGCAACAAAGCCCACATGGAGGACTCACACCAACCCATGTGGTCACAAGGTGTTTATGGTATCAGGCATCAGAAGACCCCAAACAAGCAACCATTTCAATGTGAATGAGAGGGGGCCGAATAGAGATCCAAAGCCCATGTGTTGACAATTTGATATCCCATCACAGAAGGGTCACAAGAAAGGGACAAGCCAGTCAAGGTGCAGTATAGTACTGACAAAACAACATTCCTCTAGTTCTGAAATGATTCTTTACCCCCCACTATCATGACCTCAGTTCTATCTTAAAAATCTGGCTAGACCAGAGCATGTACCTGGTGCACATAAGAGCTCTCAACACACAGAATCCAGGACAGATAACCCCCGTCAGGCCCAATAACGAGAGTAGCGATACCATGAGGGTAGGGGGCAGGTGGGGGGAGAAGAGGGAAAAAGAGGGAACTGATTGCAATGCTTGACATACATCCCTTTCAGGGGGGACAAACAACAGAAAGGAGGGAGACAGCAGATGGTGTACAATATGAAAATAAAAATAATTTATAAATTATGAAGGGTTCACCAGGGAGGGAGGGTGTTGGAGGGAGGGGGAAAAAGAGGAGCTGATACCAAGGGCTCAAGTGAAAAGAAAACGTTTTGAAAATGATGATGGCAATGTATGTCCAAATGTGCTCGACACAATGGATGGATGGATTGTTTTTTGGGGTTTTTTTTTTTTTGATGGATTGTTTTAAGAGTGATAAGAACCCCCAATAAAACGATTTATAAAAATAAATAAATGAAAGGAGGGCAAAACGAAAGACCACCTAGAGATTCATAAAACAGCAGGGGAGCCCAGGAACGTGTTTACGTTGGTCAGTTGGAAAGAGACCCGTTCCGGAGAACTACTGCTCCTCAAGACTGACGTAAGAGGAGATAAAAAACCCAAATCGATTTGTAACTTTCAGTAATGTCAGTCTTGGTTTTAAAAGGGAGCTTGCTCTTTTTTTATGTTTCTATGAAAGATTAAGGAGGCGCTTGTCTTCTCAATATCCTGAGGTAAGGGAGAGGCGTTGGCATAAGATTGGGGTCTACGGTTTCTAAGTTTGAGCAAGTTCTGCCTAGAACTTGCCATGACAGCTCTGAGGACCAGAGTGCTCAGACAAAATCATGTCCCACCTTCAGGCAGAGTCAGAACGGTATGGGTCGCATCTTGTCCTTTGGGGGGTGACTATTTTCTAGGGCACAAAGGGACCCCAAGACCCTTGCCCTATGCCATCTCTAAGCATCTTTCTGTTTCACCACCATCGCTGTCAAAACGTCTCTCCTAGAGAGATGGCAACTCTACTGATGCAAAGTCCTAAATCTTTCCACCCCAGGTGTGTCACTCCCCTCCCTCTGGGGCTCGGTTTCCCGGGCTGAGTTAGGGGGTCCACGTCCCGGCATTACCGAGTCTCCAGACAATCGATATATTCCTTCTTCTTCTTCCTGCTTTCTTGGGCTGACTGTTTGTTCCGGATTTTCCGGCGGATTTTTTTCAGCACTCGCTCCTCATACTGCCAAGGGAGGCGAAGAGGAGGCTGGGGTCAGTGTGGGTGGTGCCCCCACCCCATTCTCTTCCAGCCATCCCACACCGGGGTAGAAGGGGTGCCCGTCCCTGATGGCTCAGAGGCCTGCTCTCCTCTCCCTAACTTCTGGGAGTCTCTAGGACACGGGTGGGCTCTGGCCACCGCCCCAGGCCCTGCACCTGAGCTGTCGCCAGACCCTGGACTCTGCTGCAACCAGAACTGCCTTGGCAAGGTGGTGCATGATGCTCTCATCAGACCTCCCTCTGTGAAGACTGTGGTGGATTCCATTCTGAATTCCCTCGGGACTCAGGGATGCCCTGTGGCCGAGGGAAGAGCCCCCTCCCCCGTGGAGTTTGTGGGGTTTTCCCTGCTGACATCTTTAGGGAAGCAGGTGGCCAGGCCTTTGCTCACAGAGAAGCTGGGGGTGTTGTGTGTGTGTGTGGTTGTTTGAAATGCTTGACCTCTGCGGCTAAGGGATTCATTGCTGTGTCACTAGGGTTTCTTCCATAAAGGTGACAGCCCAGAAAACCCTGCGGAGCACTTCTCTGCCACACGGCATCCCTATGAGGCAGAATGGAACTCCGCTCATGCAAGGTCTGCAGTTCAAACCCACCAGGTGCCCAGAGGGAGAAAGACGAGGTTGTCTGCCCCCGTGAAGCCTGACAGTCTGAGAAATCCTATGGAGAAGGTTGCTACGAGTTGGAAGGGACCCCTGGTGATAAAATGGGTTACCCATTGCGCTGCTAACCACGGAGCCTGCAGTTCAAAACCACCAGCCGCTCCGAGGGAGAAAGACAAGCTGTCTGCTCCCGTGAAGCCTGACAGCCTCGGAAGCCCAAAGAGGCCACTCTGTTCTGTCCCATAGGGTGGCTGTGAATCAGAAATGCCTGGGGAATTGTTTTGTTTTTGAGCTCACATGATGGAATTGACTCATGGCAGTGGGGTTTTGTTTCCGTAACCACATGAGCAGGGACGGGCTGCAAGAGGAGAGACGTTCACGGCCAGGGGCCCCGTGGACTCACCTTGGTGAGGGGCAGCTGGGTGGACAGAGTGATGCCTTCTTTAGCCAACAACTTCTTCTCGTCCTCCGTCAACACCAGCTCCTGGCAGTGGCCAGGGCCAGGCCGGAGCAGGTGGGGGGCTGCCAGGTGATGCTGTTGCTATGGAAACCCCAGGGTAATTACGTTGGAGGGAGGCAGAGCAGCAGCCCTGCTGGGTGTGGGCTGAGTGTGAGTGTGTGTGTGTGTGTGTGTGTGTGTGTGTGTAGCATATGATTTAGGGAACTATCCATCAGCTCCACTGGCAAGAGGATCCAAAACTGTCAGGGTGCACATGTGCCTCTGACCCAGGAATCCCATTCCCAGAACAGATGCTGCAGAGAGCCTATCAACACAACAGCAATGCATGGATGTGGTTCTTTTTTCCTTTGACACAGATTCATTCAGAGACCGCTCATGGGACCCCTACTGCACGTCAAGAGGGCTGGGGGGGATGCAGTCAGTCAATTCTCACCTCCCAGGAGAACTCAATGTCAAGAAGGCCCAAATTCTCCCAACTGGACCGCTAGGTAACATCATGACAAATAGACAAAGGATGGAGGTTTGTCAAGGGCTTTGTCTCGCTTGGCTCCACAATCAGGGCTGCTCTGGGAAGCAGCCGTCAGGAGATCAAAGGACACAGTGCATTGAGCACACCTGCCACACAGAACCTCTTTCAAGGCTTGCAAAGCCAGGATGTTACTTTGAGGACCAAGGTGCGTCTGACACAAGCCAAGGTGTTTTCAGCAGTGTCTTATGCATGGGAAAGTTGGACGTTGAATAAGGGAAACGGAAGGATGGACGCATTTGGACATGGTGCAGGGGAAGAATCTTGAAAGGACCATGGATTGCCAAAAGAACTAAGAAGTCTGTCTTGGAAGAAGTCCAGCCCATGCTCCTTAGAGGCCAGGAGGATGAGACTTGGCCTCACATACTTTGCACATGTGGTCAGGGGAGACCAGCTCCTGGGAAGGACATCATGCTTGCTACAGTCGAGGGGGAATGAGAAAGAGGAAGGCTTCAACAGGAGGGATGGACATGGCGAACCATCGGCTCGTGGGGACAATGGTGAGAATGGTGCAGAAGCGGGCAGTGGTTCGTTCTGGTTCTGCATGCACACGGTTGCTATGGGTCCGAACTGACTCAAGAGCACCTAGCACCAACCCCCTGCAGCTTTTGATCCCACTGTGTGGGTTACAACAGCAGCCTCTGTTACGGGCTGTGTCCCAGCCTAGGAGGGACCACCCCGGACTGGAGCCCGCCGGCAGACTCGCTCTGGGTGTGACTGTGGGCAAATGCCAGCCTCTCTCTCTGACTCTTTGTTTCCAGCTCTCAAACAGAGGCATTGATTGAGGAAGCCCTGTGCGCTCCCAGCTCCAGGGCCCAGGGGTGGGTGGAGGGGACACTCACCAGGTCCCCACTGTTGCCCGAAAGCAGGAGCTCTTTCACCGTGAGGTTGTAGCGAGGTGGGGAGTCGGCCTGCTTAGCCTGCTCCTTGGGATAGAGATGTCCTTCTGGGCTCCACAAGCCTGATGGGCAGAGCGGGCATCAGTGGGGAGGCTGACGCTTCCTCCCCCCCCCTCCTCTAGAAAGTGCCCTGATTGTTAACCCTGGGCTCCCCCTCCTCCTCTCCCTCCAAGAAGTCCCCCTGATGGAGCTCCAACATGCACCTGGGGGTCTGCCTTATCGCAGAACATGGGAACCCTCCCCCCCAGTTCTGAGCGGACAAGGACAGTCCCAATCCATCCTTCTGTTTCCCCGACTGGGGACCCTAAACCTATCAGGGCACATCTGGGCCAGTCCCGCAAGGTCAAAGGAGGTGCAGTGACATTGCCAAGGGACGCACTGCCAACCCCAAAGGGAGTGGCTGTTATCTGAGCCAGGCCTTATCTCCCCCGAAGGGCAGGGACAGGCCTGCTTTACCCCCGCCACCTCCCACTGACCCCAGGTGCCTGCCTGGCACACAGTAGGCAGCTCAGAGGCAGTGCTTTTGGGGGAAAACATCAGGGACCTCCTGGGGGTGTCTTCTTCATACATCCCCCACACCCCAGCTCCGGGGGGCAACCCTGAGGTCCAAGACCCCTAAACACCACACCGTTCCTCCCTCTGTCTCTCTCTCCCCCTTCCATCGAGTCCGTGCTGACTCACAGTGACCCAACAGGACAGGGTAGAACCGCCCCTGTGGGTTTCTGAGACGGTGACTCTTTGCGGGAGTAGAAAGTGCCATCTTTCTCCCAAGGAGCGGCTGGTGGTTTTGAACTGCCGGCCTTGAGGTTGGCAGCCCAATGCGTGGATGTCTGTGCAGCGGGGCTGAACACAGATGTAGAAAGATCCTCTCTGTGGGACTGACATCTCTGGGCGGCTATCTTTCTGTTCTCCCTCCCACACCCATTAGCCTACCAGTCTACCTGAGCCCCAACAGAAAAGGCCACACTTCCCTTAACATCTAGTTACAGGGTGGGGTCTGGGGAGGACAACCGAGGGAGACACCCCCTTGGCTTCTGGGGTCCCCAGTGGGGGCCCTGGTGTCTGAGCCGGCCAGCCGGGTTATCCTCAAGCTCTAACCCCACGGGGACTCAGTGACGGCATCTGCAAACTGGACCCATGGCAGCAGCCACCCCTCAGACTGGGATCCAGGAGACAGGGAGAGAGGTGGGCAGACTCACGGCAGAACTTACCCACGTCTATGGCCACAGAGCCCTCGAGCACTGGGGTCACTGGCCCTGGGGGTCTGGTGGGGCCGGGGGGCCCAGGACCGTAGGAGGGGCAGAGTGCCTCACCAGGCTCCGAGGGGAGGCAGCTGGCAGGGGTGGGGGCAGGCCCATTCCATGGAGGGGTGTCTTGGGGGTCAGAGGTCAGGTCCTCAGAGATGCCGCTGTCACTGGCCGAGGGCGACCAGAGCGGGGAGTTGGGCACCGAGTCGCCAGAGCCCAGGATAGAGGTGAGGAAGTCCTCCGGATTGGGCCCAGGCTGGACCTGCTGGGAGGGGGGACAGGAGTGAGGGGGAGACCACAATCGGCCCTCTGGGTACATTGTTCCTCCCACTAGATGGATCTCTGGAGCTTTCTCCCCAAGGTCGATCGGAACACCCCACTAAAGTGTGGCACCACTAGGGCCTGGTCGCTATGCCCCGTGAGCTTGAGTCTGAGCCCCCCTCTAAACCTTGGCACCACCCAGAACAGTTAGCGCCCCTCTCTGGGCCTGCACACGAGAGCGGGGCCAGAAAGGCATGTGCAGGTGACAGGGAGGCTCACACAGAGGAGGGAGACCTAGCTGGCATGCCTGGAGCCTCACCTGGTCACAGCCCGGAAGGTCCCAGCGCCCGCCCAGCTCCACATGCCGCAGGATACCGTCCTGCTGGTCGAACAAGAGGTCCAGCAGCTCCAGGCTGTCCATGGGGTCCATGGGACAGGGAGAAGAAGCCACCTGGGTGGGGAGAGGCAGGTATGAGAACCACAGAGGCCCCCCTCCTGCTCCCACCCAGGCACCCCCGCTCCTGAGCACTGCCCACGAGCCCCCATTCAGCCTTCCTTGTCTTCAGCTCTGCCCCTGGGGCTGGACAAGCCCCCCCCCCCCCAACATCAGAGCCCCGGGGGGCAATTTCATCTTGAAGTGTCAGATCCATACCCGGAGCCCTGGGGGTGCCATGGTGAAGTGCCTCCCGGCCACTTAGCAAAAGATGGGAGGTTCGAACCCAGCCCGGTGGGAGAAAGGCTTGGTGATCAGCTACCCCGCAAAGACGGCAGCCTGGGACACCCCGCGGGACAGTTCCTCGACGGGACACCCCCCCCACAACACACACACAGCAAGCCAGAGCCCCCCACCCCCGGCCACTCCCACGAGGTGACGGAACCTGCGCCCCGATGCCGGCCCAAGACCCAGAGGACAGCTATCAGACTCGGATTTCTGCACCGGGGCTCAGTCTTCCGGTCTGCTCAGTGGGTGTAGGCTCACCTTTCCCAGCGCGGCTAAATCCCCACTCATGAGCCCTGCTCTTCCTCCAGCCCTTGGCCAGGTCTCCAAGGCCGGGGCGCTTGCTCCAGGGCCCAGCTAGAGCCTTTGCGTCACCATCCCCAAGGATGCTTAAATAGTCCCCCGGAGCTCCCAGCCCTCCCCCGGCTGTTGATTGGCGGGCAGGGTGAACGGACAGGGTGAAGGGCCAATGGCATTGGGGCGGACTGGGGGGGCGGGGCGGGGAACCCATTATCTCAGGTTGATGTGTTTCCAGCAGAGTCGTGGGCAAAGGCCAAAGTCTGGGGTGCCTGGGCTCTGACTTCACCTCTACCCTACTTTCGGGTCGGTTTTTCGTTGGGCTCCAGAGTGGCCCGTCCATTCGCAGGCCAGAGCTGAAGCCAGACAGCTGCCCAGGCGACACGGGGTGGGGTGGGGTCCTCACATCCTTCCCCCATGCCAACGGTCCACCTCCCACGGGGGCTTCCAGGGCGAGAGCCCCACCATTACGAGTCCCTTCTGGGATCTTCTGTGGTCATCTATTCCACAAGGACTGATTAAGCCAAACCTGCGCCCACCTTGTGGCCTGTTTGCGTGTGATGTTCCCTCTTCAGGGAACTCCTCGCAGGTACACCCTCCATCCCCCCCACTTCCCAACACCTCCTTCCCCCCCAGCTCCGGTGCTGCGCCGGCTGCTAGCCTGGGGAGTGGATTCTGATTTCTGGAGACACACACACGCGGTTCTGCTGGGCTGAGTTTCAGGGCTGTGATCTTTGGGAAGCGGATCGGGTCTTTCTTCCTGGTCTACCTCCGTCGGGGCGCTCTGCGGAGACCCTGCTCGTCCCAGAAACCCCGGTGGCTCTGCTTGCAGCCACACAGCAGCACACATGCCACCACCATCCGACAGACTGACAATGGTGGTGGCGGGTGCCTAGCTGAGCCCCAGCTCCCACCTCCTCCAGGAAGGCTCCATGATTGAGCCCCCAGCCCCCACCTCCTCCAGGAAGGTGCCCTGAGTGACGGCCCTGGCTGTACCCACTTGTGGTATTCCATGTGCGCCCCGCGCACATGTATGCAGAGCACAACTGCCTACCCAGGGACCTTGGGAAGCAGGTTGCCAGGCCTTTCCTCTGAGGCACCTCCAGGCGGATTCAAACCAGCCACCTTCCAACCGGAAGTCAGGTGCTTAGACTGAAAGCACATGGCCCTACCCACTGGTAGCCATGAGCGGGCTCTTGGTCCCTCGCTGCCCCTCTTTGTCCCCTCGGTGCGCACTGAAGTCTGCTGCAGAGACTGCTGGCTTTCGCCCCACCCCCCTCCTCACCCCACCCCCAGCATAGAGCTGTGCTGTCCTGAGCCCATCAGTGGGTCAGAGCCCCACGCAGGCCAGCCCCTGGGGCACAGTAGGACCCAGAGGTGGCCATCTTTGTGGAAACAGATGGCCGGCCTTTGCCTCTGACCCATGCACCCCCCCCCAACCCCCCTGCAGAGCCACTGAGCTCCAACCAGCTTTTAGGTGCATCGCTGAGCGCTTCACCGCTGTGCCACCGGGTGCCCTGTGAACATCTTCCAAAAAAGCCAAACTCCCTGCCGTGGCGTCAGGACTGATGGGAGCAGAGCAGAACCATTCCTTTGGGTTCCTGAGACTCAATCTTTCCAGGAGCAGACAGTCTCATCTCTGTCCCCGGAAGAGGCTGGTGGGTTCGAACTGCTGACCTTGAGATTAGCAGCTCAGAGGGAACCGCTCAGCAAGCAGGTCTTCCTGTGAGCACCTTGGGGGCTGGGAGGGTGAGCCTGGCCCACCAGCCTGGAAAATTGCTTTACTACGGGCCGGGGGCACTGTGGGCTGAGCACTGGATGGAACTGTAATGTTGGGAGAAAGACGAGGCGGTCCCCTTCCCTCGAGATGTTCCGTCTTGGAAAGCCCTGCCCAGGGCCTCTGAGAGCCGCATGTGAGCTGCTTGGGAGTGAGTTTGGTTTGTTTGGTCCGCTCCAATGCTCCAGAAATCCACAACCGGGTCTCTATTTCTCGGTGGATCGGTGGCCATTTCTCAGTGACACAAGAATTACTTTTGGGGGCCGGGGGGGCGGTGGGGGGAGCAGGGAGGGAAAACTGAGGAGCTGATGCCAGGGGCTTAGGTGGAGAGGAAATGTTTTGAGAATGATGAGGGCAATGAATGTACAAATGTGCTTTACACAATTGATGTATGGATGGATTGTGATTTGTGTGAGGCCCTAATAATACAATAAATAAATAACTGGGGGAAAAAAGAATGACTTAGGTGGGGCTTCCTGGTTGCGTGTTGGGCTGCTTATTGCAAGGTCGGCAGTTCAAATCCACCAGCCGCTCCTCCAGAGAAAGAAGAGGCCTTCTACTCCCGTGAAGAGTGGCAGTCTTGGAAACCCATAGGCACAGTTCCACCCTGTCCTGTAGAGTTAACCGTGGGTCAGAACTGACTTGATGGCAGTGAGAAAAATTGTTCATTTTGCCCCCCAATTCCCCCCAAATTGACCCTGATTCACACCAAACTCATTGCCTTCAAGTCGGTGCTGACTCATGGCAACCCTACAGGACCGGGTAAAACCAACCCTGTGGGTTTCTGAGACTGTAACTCTTTATAGGAGTAAAAAGCCTCATCTTACTCCCTCAGAGTGCCTGGTGGTTTTGAACTGCTGAGCTTGCAGTCGGTTGACCAAAGCATAACCCCATATGCCTCCAGAGCTCGTACAGAGTTTTCAGTGACTGGTTTTTTGGAATCAGACAGCCAGGCCTTTCTTCTGAGCCACCTCTGGGTGGCCTAGAACAGCCAGCCTTCCGGTAAACAGTCTCTTGGGTTTTCACCTCTTGCTCCACTCGGGGATTCCCCCAGCCTGCTGGTGCCTGGCAGCACGAGTCCCCGTCAGCCTTCCTCCTGGCTCCTCTGGTCGCCTTTGTGACCACTCTGTGCGGCATTTTCAGGGACTTTGTTTGGATTGGCTTGGCTTCAGGGAACCCAGTCATAATATTTATTCAGCATTGCAGCGCCGGCATCTTCCCAAGCCGACTCGAGGTAAGTTCGTAGAATTGGTGAAGGTTGACTTCTGGACTTGCCTCTGTCCCCTCCCTCCCCCACGTTTATGGCCCTCGGGAGCTCTCCTGCCCTTGGGACCCCTGTCTCTTCACCTTATCACAACCCGCCCGGGAACAGGATCTGACCTGAGTCATTTGCACCTTGATACGGAGTTAGACCCCCCCCAGTCCTCCCCCCTCCCTGCCTCCCGAGGGAGAACACAGAGGCTTTCTGCACCTGTAAAGAGTTCTAGTCTCAGAAACCCACAGGGGCAGTTCTGCCCTGTCCTGTAAGGGTCGCTGTGAGTCAGAATCGACTCGGTGGTACTGTGAGAGATCTCGCCCCACGTAACTCTGGTGGGTTTCACGTGGGGCTGCCAACCCCAAGGTCAGTGGTTCAAACCCACCGGCTGCTCTAAGGGAGGAAGATGAGGCTCTCTGCTCAGAAACCCACTGGTGCAGCTCTACCCTGTCCTATAAGGGCCACTGTGAATCAGATTCAACTCGATGGTTGCGAGATTGTTTGGTTCTGTTTTTAGTCTTCATCCCCAAAACATCTAGGATCAAAATCTTTTTAAAAAAATCATTTTATTGGGGGCTCATACAATTCTTATCACAATCCATCCATCCATCCATGGTGTCAAGCACATTTGTAATTTGCTGCCCTCACCATTCTCACAACATTTGCTTTCTACTCAAGCCCTGATTATCAGCTCCTCATTTTCCCCTCCCTCCCC